CTCTTGTTGCAATAATTATGACGCACCCTGTATAATCAATTGAAAACCTTTGTGAGTTGTTCTTCTTTAAGATTCGGCGTCCAGAACATGCCGACAATCGAGAGGGAAAGTGAGGAGAAAACATGGGACGGCGATCACGTAGACATAGAAATTCGCCTCTCGTTTTAGGTAGAAAAGAAATTTTAGCTCAAAAAGCTTGTTTATTCGTTTATTTTCTTTCTTTTAACGTCCCATAATCATAGCGAAGGAGAAGTGCTCATTTCGGCAGAAAATCTTCGCACTCATCGACACATTTTGTACTGGCCCATTTTCACCATTTCCCGAAAATTTATTGGATTACATTTGGAAACTAAAGAAATGAAAGATTTCATTCCACTAGGATTTGAGCTAATTTTAAATAAACAAACATTATAGCAACTGTTCAGTACTTGAATATTGTAATCATCGTATTTCCACGTGCCGTTTCCCTAAAAATTATTAATTACAGACATAAATTGTAACTATTTCACGCTAATAAATTTCCAAAATCATCTCTTTTGTGAAATATCTTGAGGATTTCTCTTTTTATTGTATATTCAGTTAATGAGGGAAACTTTAAAAGTAAAAGTTAAAGCAAAAGTTAAAATAAAAGTGCCTCTAGTAGTGGAGGGTACTAGACATGGGAAAATCCCAATCTGAACCTAATTCCGTTCGTTTTCTTGACCGATTCTTGACCGATCACTCTGAAATTTTCTCTAAAGATAGACAGCTTATAGACTTGCAAAGTAATCGATCAAAGAAAGGACCGAGAGGAAACGATGATGGAATTGGATTCGTGCTTGCAATTTTTTTTCGCGTTTATTACTCAATATCAAAACGTAAAAGAGTCACTCTTTCAGAGTTATTCAAAAAAAATCCTCTTCCAAAAACAATCAAAACAAAAAAGCTAAAATCAAACTTTACTGCGAATCTAGAAACCTAGCTCATAATCATACAGGAGGGTGCAAAAGGCTTCAGAAAAAATTACAGCAGCTAGCAAATGTCTAACTTATTTGAAAAATGGCATGTGTTATATAAAAGATTTGAAGCCCTAACTCTTGGCTACATTTATCTACTAAAAGCTCCCGAATCGAATGCATACAACTCATTTAACAAGCTCTCGAATGAGCTCATCCCTCCGACACGCCACCATTTTCACGATTTGCTTTTTAACTTTTAAACTTTCTTGCCAAAATATTGGCCTCATCGTATTTTGTGAAAAGCGCTCCCTTTTGTTCAACATAGTAATACTCATAAGCCGAAACACAGAAATCCATCGAGCACATTTGACTGTCGAATGAGGAAACGACCGACCTGCAATTTCTCTTACAGTCTACAGGGTGTTCAATAATTAGCTTGACTGGATTTTTCATTCCCATGCAAGCCAGGCGGCACAACACAGGATTTGGATAGGCCTCATTTGCTCAGAGTTGGCTCTGCTTTTTTTTAATTGGATTATCCAATCAAGTTTTATTTGGTATCATTTGGAAGCTTGACATGTCCTCTGTACAATGATATAAAAGTTAACAAAAATATTATCCCTGGACAAAGTTATAGGCCTTCAAAGCGTGATGACGCGTTCAAAATTACCGGAAACTATGTAAGAGCAGAAATTTTTTATTAAAACAAAGCGTGAGATGATTGCAGATCGAGTGCTGAGTTACACTTAAAATACAATAATTAAAATAATTATTGAACACCCAGATCGCCTGTTTCTCAGATTACTTTCCCGAGGAAGCAAGCATCTATTCTCTTAATACATATAAATGTTTTTTTAATGCATTACACCCAGCAAGTTCTCCGTATTTTCCCGTATTAATATTTACAGGTTCAACTCAAAAAAACTCGCCTCCATTTCACAACCCGTTTGCGTACGCGTAGAAACCGGAGCACCACAGTTCCGTTCGCGAAAATCATCGCTACCACCGTTTTATCAGGGTTTATGATCTCTAGATGTTGTCTAAAAAAAGCTATGAAGCTTTAAAAGCTATAAAAAAGCTTGAATTGATTTCAACAACAACTCAGCGTTCGCGAATCCATTCTGCGGAATCCACAGCATTTCATAGTTAACCCAGGTTTTCTCGATTCCCCCGAAATCCTCAGGATTCCATGCTAATCGCACGTCTTGCCAAATCTAGACAAAAAAAATAGCTTGAATCAAATCCTGTAAACCCACGAATTCCAACTCAGCAACGTGTACATCAACTGGCCTTGAACATCCTAGAATCAATCAAATCAATCAAATGCATCAAATCAATCAAATCAATCAAATCCATCAAATCAAATCAAATCAAATAGAATCAATCAAAGATCCCCTCAAAACTCCCTACCAAACCCATCAATTGCGCATACTGAACAGCGACTTGAACACGGAAACGCGGAATCGCTGTCTCGTTGATTTTTCTCAGTGAATAGACTGGAGACATGTCGCTTTGATAGCGTCGATTAAAAAATAACTCGTCGAAGAGACGCTGAGAATCATCGAGAAAAGCACCATAGTAATCTGAAAATAAAGCCAACTTTCGACTTCGAATCACCCCTAAAAAGACATTTTCTTTTTCTAAATAGTCTTTATTCAAGGAATTTCATTATTGCCTCAAACCTGCCACTCCAATAGCTGTCCAATTTGTGATCGAATCTTCGGCGATTCTTCTCGGTGATGGATTTTTTGAATTCGAGTTTAGATTATTTGAATCCTTACGATTCTAAATAAAATCTTATGAATCTTATGAATGTAACTTCTATTTTAATTTTAGAGTTCATAACTTGTATCAAAGATTAGGAAACTTATGGGACCAGGTTGACAAACAGGTTGACAACAGTTTAACGAGAGTTGTAAAAGGCAATGTTTTTAGAGTTCATAACTTGTATCAAAGACCAGGAAAGTTATCCAACCAGGTTGACAAGCTCAGTTTAACGAGAGTTGCGAAGTAGTGTTTTTAGAGTTCATAACTTGTATCAAAGACCAGGAAAGTTATCCAACCAGGTTGACAAGCTCAGTTTAACGAGTGTTGCGTAGTAATGTTTTTAGAGTTCATAACTTGTGGCAAAGATCAGGAAACTTATCCAACTAGGTTGACAAGCTCAGTTTAACGAGAGTTGCGAAGTAGTGTTTTTAAGTTTTCGCACTTGTGCTCTATAGCTTGATCTTTTAAAAACTAACAATTTTATAATTATTGTTTAGAAAAAAGATTTAGCAAAAATTTCCTCATCTTTATCCCTTCTCATACCACTTTCTTTGCGTCATGTGGAAGGATTTGAATTGACGAGATTTCCATTAAAAGAATAAATAACAGAAAATAAAACATCAATATTTTTCAAAGAAACCTTCTGACTTTTACAATTTTTCAAAAAAAATTTTTAGCCTATTGGAACTGAATTCTCAACAATATCGGCTCCAATTTCAAGTGGGCTTTCAAACGTTCAAATGGCACAAAAATGAAATATCTTTTGTTTTGCCTATATCTTATTGCTTATTCTTGCGAAATTAATCCTCTCAATAATTTTTTTTTTCAGCAATTTTTAAAATTTAAACGTGTAAAGTTTGGAAATGTTTTAAAACTTTTTAAAACTTTTAAAACTTTTTTATTGAAACACCAAAAAAACAAGACACGTCGCAAACGATGCACCCGGATTGGCTGTTGACGATTTTTCTGAAAGAGTCGGTAAACGATCAAGTTTCATGAATAAGGAAAATTCGAATATGAAATGAACTTTCGAAAACAAGCATCAGCGATTTTACACTCGAAATTAATCAAAGCCACACAAGAAAATGAATTTGGTAGAGACTACGCACACCTGCATACCATAAATACTTTAAGAACGAAAAAAAAAGGAAAAAATAGAACGCCAACCGCTCGTACGGTCGCGTAGTCTAACTTCTTTTAGAAATCATTTTTTTCTTAGCTTCTAGATTTTCAGCAATTACTTTTTGGTACTAAAAAAATACTAGATTTCAAGCACTATCATTTGACACCAGAGCCCATACCATAGCATAAAATAGCGCAGAGAACGAGACGTTCAAAGTTAGACTAGTGACTGTACGCCTGTCTTATGGGGGCGGCGTTCTAGAGTATTTACGGTATAAGCTCTTTGAAATAAGTAATTCCTTTCCTCTTGAATGAATCGTTTTCGAAAAGGCACTCAAAGAGAAGTTAATCCCAAAACATTTATGTAAAAAAGCATGTTAAATCAAAATCTTCAATGCAAATCGGAAATGCTAAAAGAATAGCGGAGTAAAGGATACAATAGCTTCAAGCTACAGTAACCGGTTAGAAATTTAAGTAGTGCATTTTAAGAAACTTTAAGCCAACAAGTAGACACTTTAGATTTGTCAGCCGTTTGTCGATAGGTGTTACCGGGAAATTCATGTCCCAAAGCTTTCTCAATCGACCTTTTCAAAAGTTTTTCTACCTTTGAATCTAATGGATCATTGGATTTCAAAAAAGCTCTATGATAATGAAAAAAACGTTTGACAAGTCGATTTTAAAAACTCAAGACATGAATTTCCGCTGTACACCTATTGACAAACGGACCTCCGCTGTACATCTATCGACAAACGGACCTCCGCTGTACACCTATTGACAAACGGACCTCCGCTGTACATCTATCGACAAACGGACCTCCGCTGTACACCTATTGACAAACGGACCTCCGCTGTACACCTATTGACAACCGGACCTCCGCTGTACATCTATCGACAAACGGACCTCCGCTGTACACCTATCGACAAACGAACATCCACTGTACACCTATTGACAAACGAACCGACAAATGCACATGTTTAGTACCAAGCTTTTGCAGTGAATCGAAATCAAATTCCCAATTCCCATGTCGCTTTTGATATCTGTTCACCGCACACTCGTTGTTATTTTCCTTTCACCACTCTTTTTTTTTTATTATCATTTCAAAGTCACACCCATCACTCTAATCATTTGTTATTGTTAGTTTATCAATTTTAAATCCTTTTCTTTGTTTTGTTATTTTTTGAAGCCTTGTGAGAGGATGAAATCAAGCGAATCTCCCGGATTCAACGTTTCCACACCCACCCGACCCATTTGCGCGTATTTGAAGGCACCTGAAAGGAAAGATTTTCAAGATTTTCGAATTTTACAGCTAAATCCTAGTTTTGACAATAGTTTATAGGCATTTTTTTCTTGCAAACAAACCCTCGGATGATCGCTGACAACAGAAACCGACGTCGTATTTTAACGTTTTGCACACTTCGTCACGATTACAAAAATCGGAATCATGTGGAGAGCCGCAGAGTCTGTAAATTTGGGTTAAAGATTACAGATTTTTGTAGAATTTTTGTAGAATTTTTGTAGAATTTTTGTAGAATTTTTGTAGAATTTTGTAGAATTTTGTGTAATATGTGTGCTTGAAATTTCTTTTTCAAATTTCAAATTTCAACCTTTTCTCATAAACAAGCGGTGTCCCATTGATGTCGACAGCAGCCGAGAAACCCTCTTCTGCACAATCGAACGTACGTAAAATGTGCTCGTTTGCTGAAAATTAGATTACTTTCAGTTTTTTCTAAGGTTTTCTCATTGAAATGAAAGCTTTGAAGAAGATTTTGACCGCAAAAAACAAAGCTATATATTGGGTGATTTGTAGAGGATTTTGACCCCCAAAAAACAAAGCTATCTTGGTTGATTTGTAAAGGATTTTGACCCCCAAAAAACAAAGCTATATATTGGGTGATTTGTAGAGGATTTTGGCCACAAAAAAAAGTTAAATTCATTGATTTGTAAACTGTTTTGTCTTTTGATTAGCAAACTAGGCTATCGATAAAACTTTAAAGCTTCTTACAAGCTTCCGATTTCTATCAAAATCCGAAATCCTATCCAAAAAACTCACGAAACCAGAAATCCATGCAACTTTGCTCATCAGGAAAACATCTTGTCTGATGGGACGAGTGAATTTTGGGAGAGAGCATTGAATACGCTGCGATACGCAACCACGACCCGACGGATGTCCGAAACCACTAAAAAGAACTTTTTACTTACATTTGTCTCAACTTTTTTTCTGAATACATCCATAATCAAAATCGATATCAATCCGTTTACCTCAACCTCATTCCGATCTCCATCCTCATTGCATCACCGGCGCTTCACCTTGGCGGCTCACTATGAGCGGCGTTTCGAATGTGATTGACTGGACCGCCCAAACCGGTTACATTAAACACACCAGCATCTGAAGAAAAAAAAGAAATAATCAGTTTTAATAATTTTAATTACAAATGAAAGTATTTGTCAAAGCAACTTGATCGAAAACGATAGAAAGAAAGTTTCAAATTGGGCTTTTTAGCTCCGAAAAGCTCTAGGAAACTAGGAAACGGTTTTTTGTAAATTTTTAAGTAAATCAAGTTTGTTTTTAAATGAAAAAACCCACTTGGTCCATCACCGAGGAAAGCCTCATCATTACAACAAAAACCAAGCCATTCAACCGTGAAACAAGTCTCCGCTTTGTCGCACATATCCGAGAAACCGTCCTGAATGGATTGCTCAACTGGTTTCGGGGTTGATTAGTTAGAAAATTGGGCTAAAATTAGTATATAAAATCGGTATTTTATTGCTAAAATATCTAATCTAAACTAATCCACATTCCTAGAGTACCATTTTCAACTCACCGAATGACACATTTCCGCTGAGAAAAGAAAAGGAACTCGATCGCCATTCGTTCGTTTAAAAGTCGCCATTCGAAGATCGACCGGACACACGCACGCGAATGTTTTTCCATAAAGTTTCTGAAATAAAGAAAATACTTAACAGAGAGTTGATAACGCTTTTTATGGTTTCCAAGTTCTTCCAGAAGCTGCCCAACAACAACAACAAGCTCAACAAATCTCCCGCAAGATCTCATCGTCACTACATTTTTCGACCCCATATCAATAGATTCTGATAAGCGCTTTCGAGATTTCAAGGAATTTAGGAGGAGCTTAGGGTTCAAAGTGCCGTATTCTTCCCAATAGTAGTGCTACTATTAGAGAGAATACGGCACTTTGAATCATCACTTAATTACCGTAAACCGTAACTTTTCTAGATGCCACAGTAAACCTGTGGTTTCAACCGTAACTTGCAGACGAGGCTATTGAAATTTACCGTATTTTCCCTAATAGTGCACTTCGCTGAGCCGAGTTGATGACCATTTTACGGTTTCCAATTTTCCCCAGAAGCTTAACACTCTCCTCCCCCACTAGATCTCATCGTCACCTACATTTTCGACCCCATATCAATAGATTCTGATAAGCGCTTTTGAGATTTCAAGGAATTTAGGAGGAGCTTAATGTGCACTGCTATTAGGAGAATAAGGTACTCAATATCTTCTCTAGTCAAAGATTTTGAGCTTAAAAAACCCCCTGATCACTCACTCATTCGATTCAACGTGCACTCCCTCTTCACTATCGAAAAACTGGGCGACCACTTGGAACTCCGATTGACAATCCGTTCGGAAAGCCATGCACATTCGGTGTCGATCATCGAAATACCACTGAAATGAAAGCATTTCACAATCTATTCATTTACACGAATGAATATAAGGTTGTATTTTGCTATTAGTGTTGTATAGGATTGTAAAATGTGGTACAAACAATACACAAGCACAACCCCTAAGCCCTAAATGTTGAGAGGGAAAATTTTAGTTCCTATTTAGTTCCTTTAAAGTTCCTTTATTGTTACTTCATAGCTCCTTTATAGTCCCTTTATAGTCCCTTTATAGTTCCTTTCTAGTTCCTTTATAGTTCCTTTATAGTTCCAATAAAGGAATTCCATATATATATATATGGAAAAATGAAAGAATAATCTAGCTGACGGGTTGAACCCTTGACCTCCCGACTAAGCTACAAGTTTCTTAGCCAGTCGACCATGGCAATTATTCAAGCACTCACTTTCACATCACTCCTCAACACATTTTCACATTTTGGAGCCGCTTCTGGAATTTGATTTACGAGAATTGCACGAGAATGACACAAAATACCTGTGTGTAAAGCAAAGAAGACTAATAACAACCATCTGAGGATCATTTTCTTTTTGGGAAATGTAAGGAAGCTTTTTGCAGTTAGTAGATCGAAAATGAAGGCTAAAAGAAAATCTGAAACGAGTTTCGATCATTTTTGAACTTATCTAACAATGCAAAACCGCATTGTTAGACAAATTTTTTGAATATTCAAAAGAATAACAAACGAATGATTTTTTAAAAAAATGATCCTGGAACCATTTCTTCATAGATAAACAACAAAAAACAATACGGTTTTTGGCAAAATTTTCCCAAAAATTTCATCAAAATTTGATGGAAACTCAGCGAAAAAGTGATGCGTAGGCGGGTGAAAGTTTTAAAAAAGAAAAGAAAAGAAAAGAAAAGAAAAGAAAAGTGATAGCCGAGCTGATCATTTTTCGAGATGCGTTCGGCGGAAGAGTCCCAACAAAACTAGTTTTTGTCAAAAAACGGTTTAAAAAGGAAATTTTTCTCTTTTTGCGACTTTTCACTGGCCATTTACACGGATTTTTCTGGGTTTTTTTTACTTTCATTTCATTTCGTCTTTTCACTTTTTTTTTCTTTGAAAAGAGATATCTATAGAAAAGGGGGAAAAAGGTCGGCTACAAGAGCCACACAAATTTCGAAAAAAATCTCAAACAAATTGAGAGAAACATCAAGATACCTATAGTGAACCAGAAATCTCAAAAGATTTGCTAGTTGAGTAACGTAGGTACTAGTAACGTACTAGTAACGATCAAAAGTTGCAAGTGAAAGTATTTGAAATGATTTGGAAAGAACGTAAAAGAATCTAAAAGAATTTAAAAGAATTTAAAATCTATCTGTTAGATCCGATTTTATTGGCTTAAAGAAAGGAAAATGAGCCTCTTAAATTAGAAGGCTTCTCAAGCCAATGTTAGCATCCTAGGCTCAAGGAAGACGAGAGTGTGATGGGTGTAAGATGGGTTTTTTTTTTCTCAACTTTCAATCTGCTCATCCATGTGACCTTTATCCCCTTCCGTCATCACTTTTTACATGCCAAAGAATCTTGAGAAATGTTTTTGGCAAAATTTCCTCTTCTTGCCGACCACTTGAGAAATTCAAGAGGGAAAATGGGGATAAGAAATATTTTTGAAATACGGAAGTCACTTCTAATTTGAGTGGTCATAAAGTAGAGAAAAACAAGGATTTCAGGTAATGTTTGAAAGTTGGGTTCAAGTGAACTGGATGAGTTGCGTAATTGAAAGAACCGAAAGAAACCCTCTGCACATCGGCGCGAAAATGCGTTTCTATCGGATTTTCTGGGGAGTACCTTTTTTAGATGCGGAAAATTGTGTTGATTCCGAATCTGAAGGTTTTTTTAAAATCCCTCTGACAGAAATTTTTAAATTTATTTTTAGCGGTTTTTTGGGCATTTGTATGGGAAATTTGTGGTGCCCGTAGTTTGGGGGGTCGTAACTCGACAACAGGGGTCTAGAACCAAAAACCAGGGGATAACTTTTTTTTAGAGCACTTACGAAAATTTTGATGCAAAAATCATCAAATTTGCTCAACTCTACAAAAGTTATGACATTTTTTAAAAAGAAATGGGAAAATCTACAAAAATTCTCTATTGTACAATTGTTTTGTTGAAAAGAGCAATGTAGCTATGTATCGTATTCACTCAAAACAATTAAGGAATATGCAAAATAATAGCTCAAGTGCGCGGGAGAGCCGAACCAACAACCCCATACTTTGGCACGGGATTCATGTCGCGCGCCTTAGACCACTCGGCCACGGTTTCCCCTTATGTTTTTAGTGTATTTTGCAAAATTTCTTTAAAGATCTTATAACTTTTTTGTAGAGTTGAGCAAATTTGATGATTTTTGCATCAAAATGTTCGTAAGAGTCTCTAGAATAAAAGTTATCCTCTCGTTTTTGGTTCTAGACCCTCGTTGTCGAGTTACGAGCCCCAAACTGCAGGGTACCACAAAATTTCCCATAGAAAATGACCAAAAAACTGCTCAAAACTCAATTTTAAAAATTTCTGTCAGAGGGATTGGAAAAATTCCTTCAGATTCGAAATCAGCACAAATTTGACGTGTCAACGAGGTCTGATTTGTCAAAATTCTGAATCTACGCATACGATTCCCTTCTATGAAAACATTTTGAAGCTCTACGGCTTTTCCTTGCAGCCTTTTCCAGCAAAAAAGGTGCGCAAATGTTCAGGTGCGCAAAAAAGGCCGCATTTGTCCCACCCCGATTAATCGAGTAAAAATAACACATGCAGATTTTACTCGAGTAATTCTTTACTCGAGAGGAACATACTCTATTAGAAAGAGTGTTTACCTTTCAATTTTCAAAGTAAACCGAAAGTGAAAGCCTCAAATTACAATCTAGCATCTAAGCATTTGCTCTAAGCATCTAATCTAGCATTTCTTTTTGATTTTTATTTGAATATTCAATCACAAACGAACAATTGACTTTGTTGTGTAAACGAATATCCCATAACTTTCTCCGTTCTCAAGATAATCGTTACTTTATCGTCCTTTTCCCTCTTTCAATTGATCATTTCCCCCATTCATCTCCAAATCACAAAGAAATGTTCTCTCATTCATTTGTGATATTCATTCTTTTCTTTATATTTCTCTCCGCTTTTTTCGAGATAAGTTTTTCCCTTGCACAGACACCTTTTTTTTTGTTTTATTTGTGCAAAACAGAAACAGAAAGATTTACAGATTTGACGCCAAAATGACAGAAAACGAAAATGAAACCGAGTTTGTGCACAAAAGGAGAACGTTTTTCGTGTATTGGTGGTGGGAAGTGATGCTGTTTGAGGTACAGAAGGGATTATCATTGTAACAAGTAAGAATATTTCTCTCTAAATCTCTGTGATGCAAGTAATCTGTTCACAAAAAGCTAGATTTGAGGTCGACTTGATATAACTGCACTTTTGCAATGTTTGCAATGTTTTGTCAACTAGAATTTTACTCAGAAGTTTAATTTTAATCAAAGTACTGCAAGCTTTGATTAAAGCTCTGATTAGAATCGAAGTACTGTGAGCACCGTACTGTAAGCATCAAAGTACTGTAAGCATCAAAGTACTGTAAGCACCGTACTGTAAGCATCAAGTACTGTAAGTACCGTCCTGTGAGCACCGTACTGTAAGTACCGTACTGTGAGCAGCGTACTGTAAGCATCAAAGTACTGTAAGCACCGTACTGTAAGCATCAAGTACTGTAAGTACCGTCCTTTGAGCACCGTACTGTAAGCATCAAAGTACTGTAAGTACCGTACTGTGAGCACCGTACTGTAAGCATCAAAGTACTGTAAGTACCGTACTGTGAGCACCGTACTGTAAGCATCAAAGTACTGTAAGCACCTATTTGCAAAACCAGGTTATGATCTAGAGTTTGGCTTAATCTGGAAACCGGACCTCAATCCCCTTTACTTCAGTATACCTACTATACTAATTCTGAATATAACAAGAAACAGAAGGCAGATAGTTTTTTTCTGATAAATATTTTATTTACAATATAAGAGACTATATAAGAATAAACTTTTCATATTTTGCAGGTAGATCAACGCGGATACATCACAAAAATCTCTTCTCAATCGAAAGAGATCGACTCTGAATCATCATTGGAATAGAAGGATTAAAAGAAATCAATTTCTTATTTTCTTTTTTATTTTCTTTTAAATCATTCAACGAGAAACTCAAAACGACAACAAGGACATTGAATTTTTTGATGAAAGATTTCACGGTGGAGAAGGGTGAAAAGAATTATTGTGATAAGATTCATGAATAACATTGCAAAGCCAAGAATTAGTGAAGGGGTTGAAGGGGTTGATTCGACGGCCTGGTTGAGTAAAGTGACAAAGAGACTCAAGAGGAAAACCTGGAATTTTGAGAATTTATTAGCTGCTTAAGATTGAGAAATCTATTTGATTATGTTCAAAAGCTTGGCTTAGCCTGAAGTCTCAAAGTATTGAAAAATCTCTGAGGATAAGCAAGTCTAAACCTTTTTAGCAAATTGTTTTTATGCTAGGCTAGGCATAGAACCTTTTGAACTTAATCTATAAAAAAATTTTCAATTAGAATACCGTATTTTCTCTAATAGTAGTGCACCCGGGTGAGCCGAGTTGATGACTATTTTACGGTTTCCAAGCTTTTGCAAAAGCTCAACACTCAAATCCCCACAAGATCTCATCGTCAGCTACATTTTCCGACCCCACATCGATAGGTTCTGATAAGCGGTTCTCGAGATTTAGGCGACGCTCATGGTGCACTACTATTAGAGAGAATACGGTACTTTAAATCAACACTCGATTACCGTAAACCGTAACTTTTCTAGATGCCACAGTAAACCTGTGGTTTCAACCGTAACTTGCAGACGAGGTTATTGAAATTTACCGTATTTTCCCTAGTAGTGCAGTTCGATGAGCCGAGTTGATCACTATTTTACGGTTTCCAATTTTTCCCAAAAGCTTAACACTTTCCTCCCCCACAAGATCTCATCGTCACCTACATTTTTCGACCCCATATCGATAGGTTCTGATAAGCGCTTTTCGAGATTTCAACGAATTTAGGCGGCGCTCAGGGTGCACTACTATTAGAGAAAATACGGTAGTACAGATTCTAAAGTGAATCATCTTGCCAAATAAATCGGAAGTGCACAAGCTTGAAGTCGATATCGTTTCCGAAAACCGATGACTGTTAAAATGAAAGAAGTGATGTACATTGAGAGATAGGCTATTCGTTCCCTAAAATTTCAATAATTGTATTACCCAAAACAAAAAAAAACACTCACATTGTTCCAATAATCGCAAAGATTCGCATTTGAGAGCTTGTATAAAAGCTGAACAACGCTATTTCCCAAAAAAACAAATGAAACAAATGAAACAAACTTTTTGTAATGCTCATTATAATAAACTGCACAATATATATGATAAACGATTTGAATCAGAAAATTGAGAATCGAGGCAACGATTGAAGAGAGCTGAATGGGTTGGATTAGAGCTGTTCATTTGAGCTGTTCATTAGAGCTGTTTGTCAGTAGGTGTGCAACAGAAAAACGAGTTTTATCCACTTCAACGACTACTTTTTCAGAATCTCGTGCTAAATAAGGTAGAATTCTTCAAACTCTATCTTTTGATTTGAAAAATCCTTGAAAAAGTATTCATTGAAGTGATTAAAAGTCGTTTTTTTCATTGTAAACCAATTGACAATCCGATCTACGCTTTATTTCTTTTTAAAATAACAAATTTTATTACCCATAATTTCTTGTTTCGATTCCGGAATAGAGATTTAAAATCTAGCCACTCAAACATTCAATAATTGAAAGCTTTTTGTTATCAAAGTTTTCTTTGCTTTTTTTTTCGATAAGCGCATTTGCTTTTGAAAATGAAAGAAGTAAAATATGAAAAAGGCATCAAAAATGATCTAATTTTGCATTCAAACTACTGTCAAATTTAAATTAAAATCTAAAAAAGTTAAAGTTTTAATTGAATTTTAAATGTTTATTTAGTTTAGCTAAATGTTTTATTGATTGTTTTGTTTTGTTTGATTGGAAAGTTTCAGTCTTTTGTCTTTCTAGAGTACATTTATGAAAAATTCAAGTAATAAGACTGAATATCTTAACTTTCATTGAAGCAGCTTGAAAAGCTTTTGGAACTAGGGTAAATCAAAACGTTGCCCGCCATCGGGAATCGAACCACCAACCTTCCGCTTACCAGCCAACCGTGCTAACCATTACACCACAACGCACTCGTTTACCGTTCACCAGAAGGAGTTAAGTAAGCATTAGTGCAATTTGCATTGTACTTTGAATTAGTGCACTGATCGGCTATGCACTTTTTTACTTTAACTTACTGTGAACAAAGTTTTAATCTTTATTTTTCATGTTGATAAAAGCATAATGAAATATTTCTTTGCTTTCCTTTCAAGCCCTTGTTTTCCCACAAAGATATCGTGCCATTTGATGTGCTTGTTGATGTTCAAGCCATCCCCATCGACGGTGTCCATAATCATTTCCGTCGATCGATGAGGTGCACGTTGGATCGCTCATTGCCTGAAAAGAATTGATTGAATAAATATTGAAATTGAGCCCCTAAACGACTTTAGTAGTTTTACAGCTAACTAACCACATATTCGAGCTCAACATCGGGATGCCAATGATTTGGCTCATGTTGATAACCGACAAAAGTTCCGTCAGCCCACGAGAAAACATTTTCCGAAGTCGATGCAGCACGTCTCGGGCGAATGATGGAAAGTGGTGGAAGTGATGGAAGTGGTGGAAGTGGTGGAAGTGATGGAGGCGATGGAAGTGGTGGAAGTGGTGGAAGATGGGGTAATCTATCGGGGTAATTGATCGGCTCCTCGTCTCGAGGTGATGTGTTGGCAGCGAAACGGAACCCGATCCACACGTGACTAAAATCAAGCTTAAACTTGAAAACTTAAATTGTAAATTATTTGTAAACCAGGCTTTTCAGGCTAGTTTTTAACATATGGTCGCCGTGGTTCAGTCGGGAGGACGCTTGTCTAGCCTGGTCCGACTCACCAACATTGCCACTCTTTTGGCTTGCCATTTTTATTTTTAATGGCACAAAAAGATTATATTCGACTCCAACATGAAAACTTTCATATTTGGAGAAGTGTATTGTAAAATTGTAAATTTGAACTATTTTCTTTCAGAGTTTAACCTGTTCCAACATTTCCCATAGTCACTCATTCCACCGACGTCACCCAGCTCCATCACTTTCGATTGAATGAGATCTGAAAACGAAAAGCTTGGTAACGCCACAAGTGCTATGCAGATTTGGAAATAGTCTCAAAGCTTTGAAAGCTCTTTCCTAATCTTGTTCAGGTCAAGAAAGCCGACTCTACCCAGCCTAGTCGATCCTAGATCTAAGATCTTAATTTTCGAACTGTTTTTAACGCTTGAAGTGACTCTAAATCAAAACTTTCGCTCCTTGCCCACTCACCAAGTACAAATTCATCTTCCTCTTTTGTGTTTATCGTTGCGAGATCAGCTTTCGGATCGATTCCCTTGCATTTCTCTCTTGCTTCATCCCACGAGAAAAGCTTCCACCCGCCCGATTTCTCATATTCAAAAGGCTGAATAGTTTTTAAATTAAAATTATTTAAAGTAATCTAAAGAAAAGCTAAAGACAATTGGCCACTTTTGGGTTTTCTCAGAGAAATTGAAATTGAAAATGAAAAAAAGAGAAATTGAAAGGCTCACCGAAACCCAGAAACAATTTGAGGTCCCCCGGGCGCAAGCCCAATCTAAAAATGAAAGTTTTAGATACAAATATGCTAATTGTAAGCTTGTTTTAACTTTAATAAGTTCTATTTTTATTAACTTTTAAAAGTTACTTACTTATTTGATCATTTTCGACGGATGCAAGCGCAAAAATACTTGATACACCAAGTAAAAATAACAATTTCGATAACATTTTGTTAAAATCTCTACATTTTTCCGTGTTTCTTATCATTTTATAGCATTCGTTATATAGAGAAAACAAGTTGTGGTAATAGAAAAAGCAATTTCGAACGGCAATCAATCACTTTCAAAAGATCTCTAATGAGTCATTCAAAAAGAGAGAAGGAACTGAAATTATCTGTTTTCAAAAAAGGAAAATAATGGATGTTATTGTTTAGAAAATTAAAATCACTTCCGGATTGTTTTAAAGCAAAAAAGAAATTGGCTCTGTGAAGTAATTTTATAGCCATCATCACCTACGATAGTTTGAGCAGACTTTAATCTTTCAATCAAGATCTCCTTTAACAAATTACCTATTCATTTCAATGATTGATTTTAGTGACCATTTTTTTTTTGATCTGTCATTGTTAATTGTTAAACACAATTGAGTTTTTCTTTATATTCAAGATTTATTTCAAAACGATCATGCTTTGTCATCGATTCTCGTCTTCTTCGGACTTCTTTTCGTCGAAAGGGGCATCGATTTCTCTCGTTTTAAATATTTTGAATATGTGTCTGCCCAGAGACGCTGTAATTGTACTTTTAAAATTTTCTTTAAGCTTTATAACCTGTTGTCTCCACAGCCAAATATTCACAGCTTCCTTCTGATCGATTACAAAAATTGCGCCATCGAAACGAGTGATTTCCTCGAGCTTTTCTCGATGGAATGCTCGTGTCACCAAGGCACAGACTTTGATCTAAGTTTTGAGATTTGAAAACTAATATTTTTAGATAACTTTATCAATAGATATTAGATAACTTTTTATTAGATGAATTTATCAATAGTTAGGTTTAAAAGGAGTCAGGCCATTAGGCTTTCCCATGAACTTAACTTGACCTATAAAGATCTATAAAGATCTAACTATAAAGATGCTAGAGCTTAAAGATCCTATATAAGCACTTGTCAGTATTTTATAAGCCAACAATCTAAGTTATTCAGGCAAAGATCACTGAAGATCTCCATCCGAATCCCACCTGTAACCTCTCATGCAACATCGATGTCGATTTGGCCACATTATCCTCCGATGATCCATCTGATGCTACACAAAGCACCTAATCACGATCATTTTTCAAAGCATAGTCATTTTTTTCTCAAACTTGTAATCGATCGTGTCTAGGAGTTTTTTGCCAATTTGTGTCTTCTGTGTTTCCCGTCGGCCATATTCTGTTCTTTATACAGAACACCGGCCGTGAAACTAAGCGCTTTCGAGAGATGCGTTGGACCGCCAGTGTAAATGATTCGATTGATAGCTTCTGGGAAATCATGATCGAGTTATCAATGACTTTAAGTCTCACTTTGGACACTCTGAGTGGTGAAATATTTGTCGAAACCGAAGACGACTTGTGGCTCGGCAGAGAATTGAACGACAGCCACTCGCGATCGACCCGGCGCCACATCAACGTCCTCGATGATCGCATTCACTCCAGCTTTCATCTGAAAGTTCTCAATTGAATAGTTTGGCAGAAAACTAGAGTCAAATGAAATGAAAATCCACTTGAAAAACCCTCTTTCTGACTGTTTTTCTTGTGTATTCTTGTTGAGTTGACAAGAGAAAAGCAAAAATGGATGTGCCCAAATAAGATAAGCCATTAAACGCAGAATTTCACACTGAATCTGTTTTCCGTTTCTGCAAAATTGCTTTCTATAAAAGTTATGTGTTTTAAGTTTTAGGGTGAAAATGAGAAAATTTGGAGCCTTTATAACCGTTTTGTCACGGCCCTCTATAACTGTTTTCTCTCGCCCCTCTTAGGTGACGGGGTGGTGTAGTGGATAAGACGCTTGCTTACAAAACGAGCCTTTGATTTTCTTGCTCGAGTTCGAGTCCTTTCTGGCAAAACTTTTGATTCGTTGATTTGTTTTAACACCTTTTAACTGGCCTTTAAACTATTTGAAATGTTTATACTATACTTGAGATTTATGAAATTCGACGGCCAATGAAATATGGCTTATTTCATTTGTCTAATAATGTAACCCATATTTCATTTGTCCTTTCCCTTGTGATTTGAGTTACACGAAAAGGGATGAGTTTCGATTTTTGACAAAGTACACTTCGAGAGCAAATCTTTGGCTTTAAACGAGATCGATTCGATTGGTCGATTTAAAATTCCATACGAAATCTCCATTACAAATACCTTATCGAAATTCTGAATCCCAATGGAGCTGGAGGTGTCAACGAGGAAGAGAATATCGACTGGTGGAAGGGAACGAGATGGATGATCTCTGGAAATCGATTTCTTAGCTTAATTTCCACTCAACTACTTTAGCATTATTGTTTTATCTGAAATTTACCTTGACAATTGCCCGACGGGTATCGAATAATCACTATCGGTGCTCGGCCCACTCACCGTACTCCCATCATCATCAATCTCCTTTTGCAAGCGCTCGTAGTCACCCGGTTTCCAAGCTGAAATTTGCTCATTATGCTGAATTTTTAAATAATTATACTTTTAACATTTGCTCTAAATCAACTAACTTCCATTCTTGATTTGTTTTTCTTTCCATTCTTCAAATTTCTTTCGTTTCTCTTCCCGTTCTTTACGATGAGCCTCTTTCATTTCTTTCTAAACTTTACCATAAAAAAAAAAACTTTGAAAAAATTCTAACCTCTAGATCTTTTTCTTTTTCTTCTTCTTTTCCTTCATCCCCATTTCCTTCTTGTTTTCCGTCTTGAGAATTCTTTGCGGAATGGGTTCGTCGTGGATCGTGTAGATGAGGATTGTCGCTAAAATTTTGGTTCAACGAATCTATTGGGTTGGTGAATTGACAACTGCCGGCTATTGTCATATGTGACAGTTTGAGCACTTTCTTCAAAAAGAAACTCATTTTGGTGTCAATAGAAAAGTTGTAGAGAATCAAAAATCAAGCTTATAGCCAAATTTGCAAAAAGATCCACTGAGTAGTTTCGCTTAAAATGCAAGTTTTGTGAAAATTCTTAAATTTGGCATTTCTTGAAAACCAGTTTTTGAATCGTTCTGAAAATTTGGATATAAGCTTGATTTTTGATTCTCTACAACTTTTCTATTGACACCAAAATGGGTTTCTTTTGAAGAAAGTGCTCAAACTGGGACATCTCAAGTCCTCCATTTTTGAGTCTCACACTTGTCTCACACACAAACCAAAATCCTACTACGAAAGAGGAATCCGCAAATTGCCTGTAAAATCGTCAATCATAATGGAAATTATTTGGAATGAATTTATGGTTTTATGTTGAATAAATTTTAGTTCAAAGTCCGGCAGTTTTCAACTCACCAACCCAATATTTCTTTTACTCAAGAAATTGAAATCTCTAACCTCCACCAATCTCTGAAAGATTGTGGCAATTTTCCGTGTGGATCTCTCCACCATTTCCTGAATTCTTCGATATCCGGAGTGACATGGCGATCGAATCGCGGATCGAAACGCATTCGCCAACGAGAATTTGGACTGAAATTTACACGGTATACATTAGCTGAATATCTTAATATGAAGAAGTTTCAATGAAAAGAAGTAAACCTTTGGATTGTTAGCCTTTTTTCCTCACTTACCGTTTCCGATTCCCATTCGAGTCTCGACTATTCGAATCTCTTGTCTTCCGATCATTTTGAGAGTCTAAATTCTATTATCAATCTTTATTAGATCAATTCTCTCAAGAAAAAAGAAAAATGTTTTCTAAGAGGTGTCTAAAAAGCTACCGTAAACTGACTGTCTTTTACAGGTCTTTTACAGGTCTTACCGTAATCTGACTGTCTTTTTTACAAGTAAAAAAAATCCCGAAATCATTTATGTTTTTCCTTGTTTTTTCTCAATAAACATTTCCCTCAAATTGTTTTTTTTCAATGCATTTTTCAAATTGAACAACTTGAGGAAAATATTTATTTGAAAAAAAGTTTACAATTTTCAAAGACAAAAATTGAGTGACTCAAAAAGCAACAGGTTGAATTCAAGCTGTTGTATTTCTCGGGACAGCATCCGGGAAAACACTATTCATAAAAGCTTCACCGGTATTTCTCGCTACTGAACTCTCCGTATTCAAATCGGCTAATCTCTGCCTTTGACCGGGAATCAATAATTCATTTGTTTGACTTTGCTCATTTTTTCTCACATCACTCATAGGTAACTCGGGGAATTGAGCCGACACAGCGTGCCTCGACGGAATTATTTCACGAAGGGTTTTTTGGGTGATTGGGGGATTTTTCGATGGAGACAAAGGCTTTGGTGGTATCATTTTCCCACCAATCATCGGCTGTCCATAAATAATGATTGGTTGTGGTTGTTCGCGTGTTTTTGCAGCCGCCAACTCTGCCACAGCCGCTTTTTCAGCTGCCTCGCTTCGGATCTGAAATCGGAAAAGATGTGAATGAAAACATAAGCAAAGTTTCTAATCCAGAAGCATATTTATTAGTAACTGGGCTTTTTATGTTTCATAAATACCTGGTATACTCATCAGAAACTAGTTTTCAATCTAACTCTTTTCCTCATTTATAGCCTGATCCCATTAGGAAAACCCTAATAAAATCCGGGTTTACAAAATTTTGGTCAACCATTTTCAAAAATAAATTTTAGCCTTACCTTTTCCTGTTCTTTAGCCGTTTTGAGCTCGCCTTGTGTACGTCGAACTTCTTCCTGTAACATTAAAATATAAAAATATATATACCGTAAATACTGTAATAGTACCCCATCCCCCTCGTACAGTCGCGTAGTCGCAAAAGTTTTTTCGTATTTCATTTTTTTTCAAAGCGCCCGTACTTTCAAAAAATGTTTTTGGTATCGAAAAATAGCTGAAATTCAGGGCTATTTTTTGATGCCTAAGCGCGCATTCTAGCATAAACCAGTGTCGAGAAAAACTCGTTCCAAGCTAAACTACGCAACACTCCGCACCGGCATTACAGTATCTACGGCAGTTATTCTTAAACAACAGAAATAAAGAGAAATGAATCAAACTACCGTAAATACTGTAATAGTACCCCATCCCCCTCGTACAGTCGCGTAATCACAAAAGTTTTTTAGTATTTCATTTTTTTCAAAGTGCCCGTACTTTCAAAAAAATGCGTCTTTGGTATCAAAAAAATAGCTGAAATTCAGGGCCATTTTTTGATACCTAAGCGCGCATTGTAGCATAAACCAGTGTCGAGAAAAACTCGTTCAAAGCTAGACTACGCAACACTCCTCACCGTCATTATGGGCGTGGGGTGGGTACTATTACAGTATTTACGGTATTTCTATATTCTTTAACACATTCACCACTCATTAATAACAATTATTTTTGATTTAAAGTTTTTAAGACCATTTATTATTTATTTTATAGAAAGCTCTTGATTACTACTTGTTTCAAGAGGAGATTCACGGCTATAATAGTCTAAATCTTTAAATTTACACGAAATTAGTTAAACTGTTAACAACTACGCGACTGTACGCTAGAAATAACGTCGTTTTTAATGTATTAATCATTTTATTTTTTTCGTCTACTTGATGTTTCTCATTCAATTTCATTTGCTCTTCCATTTGTCGATGAATCCTCGCAGTGAAATATTCGTTTTGTTTACGAAGATTTCTCTCAACTTCCGCGTATTCATATTTTAAGCGTCTATCTAAGAAATTCACTTTTATATAATGTTTCCAATATCACTCACTATCTTCTCGATAAACATATACAGCATAAAGAAGACAACAACAAGTAAGAAGAAACACGATAAAGAGAAGAGTCGTCACAATCCAACAAAGAGTACCGAATGCAAAGGGATGAGTGGCATTACCTGAAAAAAAGATTTTACATTCTATTCTTCATTTAACCCTTGCTTTTCCCTTAGCCTTGTTCAGAGAAACAAAAATTTGAATAGAATGACTCAATCTTGAGTAGAATCACTCAATCTTGAGCAGAATCACTCAATCTTGAGCAGAATCACTCAATCTTGAGCAGAATCACTCAATCTTGAACAGAATCACTCAATCTTGAGCAGAATCACTCAATCTTGAGCAGAATCACTCAATCTTGAGTAGAATCACTCAATCTTGAGCAGAATCACTCAATCTTGAGTAGAATCACTCAATTAATAAGTTGAGGAAACGAGTTTTAATTGAATATCTTTAAAAGTTACCGTATTTGTCAGAGTTAACTTTCTCAGTACATTCAGAAAGTCTAAATGCCATCAGCTCAACAAAACCCACATGGTAAAGTCCACGAAACACTCCGATCATCGCTGTACTTTGTACATTTAGTGATATTCCAATTCAAATAATTCCACCAAGACAAATCAACGTTTGGATCCATTTCAGTAAAGTGTAGCTAGTCAAAAAAATAACGAAATATTTAGCTATTTAGCTATTTAGCTATTTAGTGTTTTCTTTTTTGAGTTGAATTTTAAATGCGACTAAAAACGGCATTGAAAAGGTCGCCTAGAGATTTTTAAGAAAGGAAAAGACGAAAAGAAAAAAAAATAAAGTGAGGGTGAAGTTGAAAAGAGAACAAAATAAGGAGGATTTGTATAGTTGGAAATGGTTGTGAGGAGCTCGAAGGAGACACAAGAAGAAGGCATAAAGGAGAAATGATGGATGTTAATCGTGACCGAAAATAGTGACTTTACTTTGAATGTATCATCTTGATTCATCATTTGATTATTTCTTTTAAAGTTAGACCCTTTTGATTGTGAATACTGAGTTCAAATCACGGGAATTTAGACTTGAGTAGATTTCGGGTTTGAAATTTGGACTTGGGTAGATCAATTGGGTTTAATCTTCTTTGCCATTCGGTTCTGAATGGCCGAGATTTATTTATTTCTTTTTCTTCCTTGTCTTTCCTGGACAAAATATCCGTGCCTATTTCGTCCTGGACAAAACAAAAAAAAAGCGCGGATAGCTCAGTGGTAGAGCATGTAGAGCATCTTTCTGGTAAGCAGAAGGTAAACAAGAAGATCTTGAATCCAATCCCCCCTCGGTTCCAAATTTTTACCATTCATCTCTTTACTTTATTAATCTGAGACTAATCTGAGAAGATCAAGCGGACTGACAGACAAGCTGAGCGGAAGATCCTAAGCCTGGAGGCAATAAATGCACGCTTAATAAAAGGACAAGACAATAGGCGTGAATAAGACAAAGCTCAATAAAATATAACTGGCTTGGATCGGAAAAGTTGGACCAGAAAGATTTGACTTTCTGACACGATTACCCACTCAACTCACTTCTATTCACAAAAGTGTTGGCAGATTGGCAGAGTGGAAGTGAAAGACGCGAAAGGGAGTCGAAATCATGGGCAGTTAACTGCAAAAATATATGAGAATTCTGTGAGAAAATAGGAAACCGAAAAATCAACTATTTTATGACTTTACTTTCAAAGTATTGGCAGTGGCTGCATAGTGTTGATCAGCAATCTGGGGATACGTTCCATCGACGAGAATATAGAAAGCATGAATTGGAGAGTTTGGAGACAAGAGCACCTCTTTGTTTAGCTGAAATCGAGTGTTGTATTTATCCAATTTATCAATCAAAATCTCACGAACCAACTCGGGAATCTGATATTTTCCCCCAGAGATCACGACGATCACATCGGGAAACGGCTTTCGATTACCCTAAATAGTTCTGAAGTTAAATTTATCTCTAGATTCTACTCATAAACTTGAAATTCTTGTACTAACTTGCGCTAGAGCAAACTTGGCAATCGAGTTCACACTGGCACACGGGAGACAACGGGTTGGACTCGTGTTTGGATCGCATGGAGCATAAGTGGTAGACTGAATACAAAAATAGGATTTAGGATTGTTTTTGAATGAGTATTGGGTACATTTACTTGCCCTTCCAAATTTGTGATTTTTCAACTGACTTTGACGTTCTCTTTTTGAGGGTTTTATTTTGTTTGACCTGAATGCGCGATTGAAGATCCCGTCGATTAGCCTGATCGGAAAACGGAAAAACGAAACGACCCATTGGAGTAAACATGGCGAGTGAGACACGAGAACCAGCTGGTGAAAGATCCATTTGATCGATCGACTGGAATTCCTTTCAAGAATTACTTTAAATTGTCATAGGCGCTAGACTTTGATGTTAATTGATCGGCCTCTTACCTTGGCTACAAAATCAAGCTCTCTCTGAAAATCGGCGGGTTTTATGTGCAGAGAAGAATCGATAATAAAAAGCACATCCGAATTCGGCCATCGACAACATTCAGAAATGAGAATGACAAGTGAAAATATCAATGTTTCCCAAAAAAATCATCGCTCATTTCTGAAAAAAAAATTATATAAACGGCTCGTTTTTTAAGAGGTTTTTTTGAAGACAAAGAAAAAGAAGATCAGGATAAAAAAAGAGCTAGTGTATGTTTTTGTTGTGGGGGTGAAGGAGTCATGGTTGCTAGAGGGGACATTGGGAAAGGTAGAAGGGATACGGAGATCCCAAAGCTCAGCTGTACGGATTTTTGAGAAACGACATCTAGAAATATAATGACTAAACTAAAAGATATTAAGAAAGTAAACAAATGAATGTAGTTAAAATCCACTTAAACTGGTTTATCGAAGCTGAATTTGTCAAAAGTCAGCAGACAGCAGTCACACTTTTATGTTTGTCGGCTATCTCAAAATCGGTGTTTCATTTATCGATTCAGAGTAAAATCCACAATCACTACTAGACTTTTGTATCTCAATTACATAAAGGATGACTGAAATAGTCCACTCGTGATTCACCATAAAGAAACATACCGTAAAAACTCTAATAGAACGGCCCCTATAGGAGCGTAGTGTAGTCTAAGTTTACTCTCAAACAAACGCTCAAATCTCGACACCAGTACATTTGTTTCTGTACATTTAAGTATCAAATTAAAGTAAAGAAAATGGGTGATTTTTTGAGATACAACACATATTTTTAGCATTAACCAGCATTTAGAAAAAATGATTGAAAAGTGGCAAAAAAAAAGCCAATTTTTCCACTTTTTAATCATTTTTTTCTAAACGCTGGTTAATGCTAAAAATATGTGTTATATCTCAAAAAATCACCCATTTTCTTTACTTTAATTTGATACTTAAATGTACAGAAACAAATGTACTGGTGTCGAGATTTGAGCGTTTGTTTGAGAGTAAACTTAGACTACACGACGCTCCTATAGGGGCCGTTCTATTAGAGTTTTTACGGTACATAAACATTGTCTAATTAAAGCTAGCTATCTCAAAATTTAACACTCTTAAGGTGAAAATTTATGAAGTAACTGAAAATCAACACTATTTAGCTGAAATCTCAAAAGTTTCTATCAAAATTACCCATTTTAAAAGCAAACAGGAGTTTTCAGCCACTCTATTTCAGCTCTGAAGCTTCGATTCTTTATCACCAGATTTAGAATCATTTTCCTTTCCTTTAACATCATCATTTCTTTGATGATCATTTTTCAAAAGCATTCCCATCTTTTCATTTCCAAGTTTCCTCTTTTTGTCTTCATCTCCGTGTTTATCAAGTTCACCCTTTTTTCCGCCACCAAATCAGTCAGTCTTTGTGGCTTACATGGAACGCGTCGTTCACGAGTTTCACCCTATGAAATATTCAAATCAAAACCACTCAAAAGTCAAAATATTCGAAGAGCCTTTTAGAGAAATTGCTTGAAATCGGCAAGTGAAGTTTTTGGAGTTTAGAAGAAAAAGTTGCTGTTGAAAGGATGTTCGCTTGGTGAAGACCATTCTTCACCAAAAGCTCATTCAGGTCAACTCTGGAAAAGTGAGTTTTTGGGTTATATTTCCGAACTTATCTATTCTTTAGAATTGTGATAAACCTTCAAAAAGCCTTAACTGCTCTCAACAGAATTTAGATTCAAGCAAATCAGAAGGCAGCTCTATGTCTGAACTGGCTTTTGCCTAGGCATGAAAAAGTCTCTGGGAATCTGGACAGAATCTAGACTTGGATTCAAACCTGACCATGGTCTTACCTTGTCTGGACTGATCTAAATTACAACTGAATAGTCCCTGATCTTACTAAACTCTAAAAAAACCTCTTCACCGAACCAAATTAGTTCCTAGCTTTCCGTTTCGTGATTGAAAGAAGAAGAAAATCTTGTTGGATTAGAAAGGAGTAGAAAAAAAGAAAAAAAAAGTCAAGGAAAGGAATCTCATTTCCCCATCATCTCATCAAAAAATCATTTGTCGAGGATTACCGGCCTCAAATTGCCTCAACAAAATTTCAAATTTCAAATTGAAATCATTACGATTAAAGTCTCATTTAAGCACAAAAAAGAAAAGTGTTTCCCATCTGAAATCGAGGAGTTTTCTTTCAGCTCTTCTGCATGTTTGACTGGATTTTCGTAAGTTTTTCTAAGAACTTTTCATTTACAACATCATTTTCATATTTTGTGTTCTAGCACTGATCTTTGTCTAGTTTCAAATAGAGTTTTCTTAATCAAAAGATTACGGTATCAAATTCAAAGCATTTAGCGTAAAGCAATGGGCGCTTGCGCTTCACATATCGAGGCGAAAACTCGGCTTACACCTGAAGAAATCGAGGCGGTGAAAGAGTCATGGAAAAGGTTTGTTTAAAAAAAAAGTATTGAATTGTTATTGATATTCAGCTGATTCAGCTGATATGCTTTATTTTGTAGATAGTTTTCTTCTAAGTTTTCTTTTGAAATACTATAACCAGTTAGTATTGGAACTTTACAATATCTTAACGATTTTAAACTTTCAAATATTGCAGTTTAAAATCACCAATTAGCAATGCCTTTATTTTAGAGCAAAACACGCTCAAATTGGTCGCAAAATTCTGGGCACTTTACTAGAGAAAAGACCACAATTCGCACAAATGTATGGCATTTCGGAAGAGGAAGTGATGGACGGCAGAATGACATCGAACACGTTGTTCCAACTGCAAGTGAGTAGAGATATTGCAACTATTAGAGATCAAAGAATAATCTTTACAATCTTTACAATCATCTCGTATAAGTGACAGTATTCTCATCGGATTTCCAGGCTTGCCGCATCCAGAATCCAGAATATCATTTATAATACCTTTCGATTATCAATAGTAATTTAGGAGTGTTAAAAGTGTCATCAAAAGTAATTTACTGTCAAACCGGAGCTGACCTTTATACATCTAGAGTGTCTAATAGTTACTATATTGTAACTATTAGATATTGCATATTGCAACTATTAGAGATCAAAGAATAATCTTTACAATCTTTACAATCATCTCGTATAAGTTACAGTATTCTCATCGGATTTCCAGGCTTGCCGCATCCAGAATTTCCTCGACACCACCGTTTCATCGCTCGGCCTTTGCCCGACGGCTTCAGTCTTCGCAATGGCAAAACGAATCGGACAAATTCATTATTACAAGTAAGTTTTTATTTATAGAAATACTACTACAAGCTTTTATTTGTATAAATACTATTACAAGTAAATTTATATTTAAATCTCATTTCTTTAGGGGAGTCAACTTTGGATCCGACTCTTATACAGTTTTCAAGAAAGTTACAGCCGATGAAATTATCGACGTGGTAAGCTTTAATTAACAGAAAACATCTGCAACCCCTAGCCGTCATGGTCGACTAGCTAACAACCCTGTATCTTAATCGGGATCTGGTTCATGATTCAATCCCTGCTAGATTATTAGTTCTTTTTCCCTACATTTAACGCTTAGGAGTTGTGCTTGTGTATTGTTTTTTTATAACATTATTCCTGTGAATAAATGTAGATAAATATAAGTTAAGATACTAACATATATATATGTCGTAGCCGATAAAGGATTTCAGCCGAAGAAGTCTCAGACTTCTTCGGCTAGCCGATGAAGTCTCAAATTTTTTTATCGGCTACGACATATATAACAGCTATCAGATAAGTCTCATTCTTAATCTTTTGAAACTTTTCAGGCCGAGAAGACTCAACATTTGCTCGAGAAAGACGGTGGACATACAGAGTTTCTCGTGGGTTTTTGGGGGAAATTTTTACGAATTTTTACAAAGCTTAAGCTTAGATTTTCAATATCAAATTTGATATAATTAATATAAGCAAAAAAATTATCTACAGGATCAGGCTATCATGAGCCCGTATGACACAAACAATTGCAACATTCGTCTCGGATGGAACAAGCTGATGAACGAGATTGTGCGCGAGATGAAAGAGGGTTGGAAAGCATCAAACTTCTTACATAAATGAATCCTTTTATCTACTATATATAAAGCAGAAGAGACGACGTCTGTCCGTCTGTGCGTAGCTATTGGAAAAAAGCTAGCTAGCGGGACTTAGCTCTCGGCGCGCGGGGAAAGGAGGGTTTAGTAAATTTTCTTTTTCTTTTCTTCTTTTGCTTTTTAAAAGGCAAAGTGGAATTTATAATGCAATTTATAATGCAATTTGTAATACAATTTATAATACAATTTGTAATGCAATTTATAATGCATCAAACTTCTTAAATAAATAAATAATTTAAATTTAAATGTTTTTTAAGAGATTTTATCAAGCCAACCATTTTCAGGCTTTGTCCAGGAGGCTCGCGCTCACAACAAAGATGAAGGAGATAGTTGAAAAATTAAACCCTTTTTCTTTAGAGCTACGATAAAGTTCTTTTTTTATCATTATAGTAATCGGGAATATCTTCAAAATATCTTCAAGAGATTCCTGAATACTTTTTTAGCATACCAGAACTTTACCGAATCTTTAAAACGTCAAAATATCATTTTATTTTTCGTGTTTCTTTCCGAAGTTCGCATGGCATTTTTTTTGCTTCTTTGAAATTTTCCTTGTTCCTTATCATATTTCTTTTCAGTAAATGATTCGATAACTAAATTTTCACCATTTACCCTTTCTTTTCCACAAAATTCTGTTAATGAAAATAAATTTTCCCGAAAATTTATGCAACCAGAAAAAAAACATTTTCGTCTTTTTAGTCTTTTACGTTCGTTTTCCTTTCAGTGTCCTTTTTTTCCTTTTTGAATAGACCAACAAATGAGGTCCCAGAAGTGATCGAGAGAGTGTAAAGAAGAGAAAAATGAAAAGAGAGACAAGGAAATAAAAAGAGATTTTAAAAAAAAAACCAGTGACAGCTATTGATGTGCAACTTGTGCTTAGAGATTTATAAAAAGCACAAATTATTAGCACAATCCAACGTACTCCGGCTCCAAAAGTGATTTTCTAGAAGCACGGCTATTTGTATACCAATCGACGCGTTTCAGTCTCCTCTACAAGGATTGCCCGGCGGTGAGCACAGCGGTCAAACTTGTGAACTCTTGCGCGAAGCCAGCCATACTTTAACTTTAACCAGCCATACTCAGCCATAGGCTGAGTAGATTGGCTGAACGGTTTAAAAATTCGGTGAAGGTTACACAAATCCCTGTTTTACCTGTAAATTTGTGGCATATTGAGAGCAATAATCTTTCATCGTTCCGTCCCAATCAGTGATAAACAATGGCTTCCGATTGTCCCGAACCACGACTATTTGTATACCAATCGACGCGTTTCAGTCTCCTCTACAAAGATTGCATAAAGAAAAACCTTGAAAACACTAAAAATCCCGGAAAAACTATGAAGAACTCTCAAAAAATGTGTTTCGGAGTCTAAAATGCAATGTGACAAAACTTTATATACCAGAATTAATTCTACCGTAGTTTTGGTCTAGACCACGATGACAAATTCTCGCCCAATAAGTACCAGCAAAAGACCGTTAAAGATATTCAGCTAAACAACTGAAAGTTGATTAACGATTTTTTTTTTGGGTATTTAAAGAGTTTTTTTCTTTTTTTTATACCTTTGTCACCTTTTATTAAGTTTTTCGCCTTTTCTACCCCTTCTTTATATCTTTTTTTTCTTTTAACACTCTCTAGCACACGTAATAATGAGTTCCGAAGAAAAATGTTTCTAGTTGACGGTTGATTAGTTGTACTTAAAAGGTATTTAGGAAAATAGTTTTTTTGATTTCAATGCTCTATGTCTACAGAAGTTGTTTAAAAAGTATTAACAAAATTATACTATCAGTCAATTCGAATCAAAATTTCTGCGACTTTCAATAGCGCGCGCCGGTCGCTGAGAACGGCTTATAATGGTTCGGATTTCGTTGGGGACCGGAATACCCCTTTAAGGGATTAGTATGGTAAGAGGAATTGTAGATAAATGCAATCGTTTTTGTGTGTCTTTGAGCACAAATTCTTTATCAATTTCTCTATTGGTAAATCTCATCATTATCTCGCGTCAAAAACAAGTTATAATTTTGTAATTTCCCCGTTCGACTTTTTGATTTTCATCGAGAGAAACGGAAATTTAATATGGAGGGAAAGGGAATAGATTGGAGAAGAGGATGGGAAGAGAAAGAAGAGAAAGGAAGAGAAAGGAAAAGAAAATAAAGAGAAAAGGTTGTAAAAGAGGAATAGAAAAGATCTAGGGCCCTCTAGGGGCCTCCTTCTTGAATGCCCGTTGTGGGTATTGATCGAGTGCCTCATGGGCCTTCTCCCCTCCTCCCCCCTCCCCTTCTCGTCACTCGAATTCATTCCTTTCAACCCCACAAGAGAAAAGAGATGATCTCCTTCTCTTTTCTTCTTCTTCTCCCTTTCATTATCGTCATCTCATCAGCACTCGACTTGGAGACGGTAAGTGAGACTGTTACTGAATGAAAAGCCAAGATTTTCTCTACCAGACAAAGATTAAGCGGTTTTTCGTACTTTAAAGATAAAATATCTGGATTTTTGATTCTCGCTTTTCTATATTTTGAACAAATTAGATTCCTAGCATTCACTAGAATAGCTTGCAAATTATTTAAATCTTTCATTCTCGATTTTCAGCCAAATGAAATGTCGATGATGCCATCGGGGGATTTTATCGATTTGATGAGTCGAGACGCCGAGAATGTGCCTGGACCAATCGCTTTCGGAGCCAAATACATGACTGGTTAGTTGGGGAAAGATTTCAAAATATTGACCACATTAATACTCATTGCTCAGATTGAGACTTTCACTCCAAAGATAACCAAATCATTTGCAGGTGGAGCCGGCGAGGGTCAGCAACAATTGAAGAACGGCGAAGACTTCAAAGAGAGACAAGATGTCGGTTTTGATTTTTGAACACAAAGACTGCTGTACTATCCGTTTACACACCATATCGTATTTGTCCCTAACAGAGCCGAGTTGATGCCAATTTTACGGTTTTCAAGTTCTCACAGAAGCTCAACACTCAAATCCCCCACTAGATCTCATCGTCAACTACATTTTCCGAGCCCACATCGATAGGTTCTAATAAACGCTTTTTGAGATTTCAAGCAATTTCGGCAACGCTCTGGGTGCACTACTATTGGAGAGAAGACGGTATATTATTCCAGGTTAGGCTAGTAGATCAAACTGATCTAGTTCCCTAATATTTCCCGGTCAGCCGAGTTGATGCCTATTTTAAGGTTTCCAATTTTTCCCAGAAGCTTAACACTTTCCTCCCCCACAAGATCTCATCGTCAGCTACATTTTCCGACCCCACATCGATAGGTTCTAATAAGCGCTTTTCGAGATTTCGAGCAATTTAGGCGAAGCTTAGGGTGCACTATTGGGAAAATGCGATAACAGCTTGCGTTACCATAAATCAAATCTGGATTGTTGGCCTGGATCCAGGCTATAGGCTTCAATCATAACCTGAACTGTATAAAGCGGTTCAAGAGCTTGAGATAGCTGAATTTCTTGATTTTAGCAACATAACTGTGCAGTATAAAGGTTTTACTTTTTTACAAATTCTCCAATTTCAGGTCAAATCCGACAACGTTCTCCCCGCCTATTGTGAGCCTCCAAATCCGTGCCCTGTCGGATTCACCTCGTCTGATGGGTTTGCTTGTTTATTGGTTTCAAAAAATACATTTACGCTCATAAAAAAAGTTATAATTATATAGAATTATATAGAATTATATAGAGTATCGATTGACATACTAAAAACTCATTTACAGATGCTTGGAAGAGTTCGAGAATTCGGCCGAGTTCTCCCGAGAATACCAAGCTCAACAACAGTGTCTCTGTGATCAAGAACACATGTTCAAGTAAACAAATTAACAATAGCTAAAGTTTTTTGTAGAAAATGGATGAAAAACGATTTTAGTTGTGCCACCAAATCCGCCGACGAGGCCCAAGAGGCTCTTCAAGACATTTTGGACAACTCAGGACTCCACAAAACAATGATGGCAAAGAAATATCACGAGAGCATCAACGAGGTTTGATTAAAAAAAATAAATTACCGTTTCTCACTGGTCAAAAGGTTTTGCATCAAGTTGGACACACAATTTGAATTTTAGTAAAATTCCATTTATTTGCTGTATTTGCTTGGAAAGCGGAAAGGAATCAAAGCAAATTGATCACTCTAAAGCAAAAGTGGATTTTGGTTCATGAACTGTCAAATTTTAGGAGCCCCGTCGTCGCAAACGATCAGTGCCCGCTCACAAGATCAACCCATATCTTCAGGTTTGAGACTCAATCAAAATCAGTCACTGCTAATCACACCTTTCGCTGTCTTTTTTATTTGATTTCCGTGAACTCTGAGCCTGGTGTTTATCGATTTGAAAACAGAATTTGGTCTTGATTAGCTTTGAGTAAACTTGATCAGTTTTTCCTTTGCAAACTAAAAGGTCACAAAGCAGAAAGTATTCAACCAATAAGACTGAATACTTTCGTTTCTCGTTTGGCATTTCTGTAACAAGAACTAAATTATGCAAAGATCCTAATCGATAAACACCAATCAGAGCTTCGTAACACACAAATTCGGCTTTTGTAATCGCAATATCAATATTTTCAATAGATCGTCGTCTAGGGCGAGCCATTGCGAAGCGTGCAGAAGAAAGATGGCAAACGAATGCACTGATCCAATCATCCAATCTCTTTTTCAACTAAATTACTCATCACTTTCCCTAGAATTCCCCTATAATACGTGTGAATTTGTTTTCAGGCTTTCCCCCTCCTGTTTAAATCCGGTTTTTCCTTCGTTAAGGGTTTTCACAAATTTCTACAAAAACCTCTTTTTGTATCCAAAAAAATACCGCCTGTGAGAGAATAAACTTTTCTTTGTTTTTGACGAATGTTCAGCATTTTTTGAGCAATCAAAGCACTAATTTTTATTCACCAATGTATTCCTTAAACAAAGAAATGATTATAATTAATCAAAAACGGATAAATTACTTTTTTTGGGAAGTTGTGGATGTGGCTTTCGTGATTGCATTTTGCGTTGCCGTCTTTCCCGCGTTTGCCTAAAAAATAAAATAATCAGCCAAACTAAGAATGCACGAACTGTTAAATAAGCTAATTTAATTGTTATTAAAAGTTCAATCAGAATCCCTATATAACCCACTCACCTTCTCCGCGTCTTTCTTTTCACGACTATTTCTCGCTCGCCGTTTCAGAGTGCACACGACCAAAAAGTAGAAAGAAATGATCAACATAAACACGAGCGCTCCCAAGAAAGCCTACAAAAAAATCAGGAAATTAGCTGCTTTACTTAGAATATTAAAATTATATGCTTCAAAACTGTTTTCTTACCCCAGTTCTCCCTTTATGGAAAGCTTCCGAATGTTTGATGGTTGATTGAAGCTAAAATAATAGTTATTTGAAAAACAATCAAAGTTGACCTCATCATAGTAAAGATGAACAGCTTCATCGCTTCCCCAATTGTATGCTGAAAGAAAATAATAACATCGATTGATTAACATCGTCAATAAGAACTTTCAATTTTAATATTATCAAATCTTTCAAAATTATTGGCGCTATCAAATATCACAAATAGGGCTGTAACCACAAAAGGTAAATAAAATTCTAAACGAACCCTTAAAATAGTGCGCCAAATTATCGAGTATCTCTTCGTTGTAATTGGGTTCAGGTGGATCGACAACTTGTACGATTTTCTGCACAACGGGAGGATCTAGAGGAACATGATAAAGCTTATAATATAAAAGCAAACAACCTCCTTTTACACATGCTTTATTACAAAGATTAAAGCAAAGCACGGGCTCGAGGGTTGTCTAAATGAATTTATAACCGATAAAAATAAACCCAATACTCACTTGATCCTTTTTATAGGCATAGCAATATGGCATCAGTGAACCATCAAAGGAAAATGTAAAAACATCCGGATGAGCATCGTATCTAAATAACAAGGAAACGATTAAACACTGCCATTTTACTTACTCAGCAGCTTGGCGACAATAGTTATGTGTTTGCCTCTCGTGAATTCGCGGGTAACTAAAGAAAATCATTTGAATCATCAATCAATCATTACATTTGAGACATTAAGCTCATTCACGTTAATAAAACTCTTTTCACAAATTGTTAAAGCGTTTTTAAAGTGTAAACTTTTAAACTCCAGATGTGCTAGGCAAATGTGTATCTAAAAACAACCAACTCTGTGATTTCGTTCAACGCAAAGTAGTGCCAGACACGATTCCACGGAACACACGCTCGACCGTCCACTGTCGTATTCTAAACAAACAAAACAAAGACAATAAAAAGTGTATAAACGCAAAAATTAAATGTTTTGAGCGCAAATTTGTTACTCAATAGTCGAATATTTTGAAAAACACGGAAATACCTAGAGATATTTCATTTTCCCTAACAAGTATTGCAATGAGAAGTACATGTATCAGGCTGTTCAGAAAGTCTTTTCGTTCCTTTTCATCCTTCCATTAAAAAATAACAAATTCACCAATTAACCTATGATCTGCTCTAAATAAAAAGTGTTTATTGTTCAATTTCCTATCTTTTTAGGTCAATTTGGGGGGTGGGACAAATGCGACCTTTTTTTTGCTGGAAAAGGCCTTAGGAAAGGTCGTAAGGGCTTCAAAAATGTTTTCATAGAAGGGAATCGTATGCGTAGATTCAGAATTTGACAAATCAGACCTCGCTGACACGTCAAATTTGGGCTAAAATGCAAAAAACTACGCAACTTAACGCTTTTCCGCAGTTTTTGCCTTTTAGCCCAAATTTGACGTGTCAGCGAGGTCTGATTTGTCGAAATTCGGAATCTACGCATACGATTCCCTTCTATGAAAACATTTTTGAAGCTCTACGACCTTTCCTAAGGCCTTTTCCAGCAAAAAAAGGTGCGCAAATGTCCAGGTGCGCAAAAAAAGGTCGCATTTGTCCCACCCCCGTATTAGGCTGTTCAGAAAGTCTTTTCGTTCCTTTTCATACTTCCATTAAAAAATAACAAATTCACCAATTAACCTATGATTTGCTCTAAATAAAAAGTGTTTATTGTTCAATTTTCTATCTTTTTAGGTCAATTTGGGTTGACTTTCAAGCAAATTCGAGAGTGAAAACACGTGTTTTTCGTAAAAATCTATAAAAACTTCTACGAAGAAATTAGCTGAATTAATTTCTCGGAAAATTTAGCTATATACCTAACTTTTTATGCTCTATCTTTTATCTATTGACACCAAGATAGGTTCCCTTAGCTAAAGTGTCTAAACCGCATCATCGAGCCGTCGTCCTTTTTGACTACCCGACTTCAGACTCCCAAAAAAAATCCAGACATAAGACATTTTAAACCCGTTTTAATGTTATTTTGCAGAAAAATCTGCAAAATAACTGGTCTCTTCTAATAAAACAAATCATAGGTTACTTGGTGAATTTGTTGATTTTTCAACGAAAGTACGAAAAGGAACGAAAAGACTTTCTGGACAACCTAATTATAAATAGACTAACCTTGTATCCAAAATATCGATATCCCCGCTTGACAGCACTCAAGGTAATACATTCAGCAGCTGAAAATGAAAAAAAAATGTTAAAGAAAAGGACTAGCTAAAGATGGTTTTCAAAAAGTTAGACGCTTGTGCTGTTAAATCCCATCCAAAACACAAGGAAAAGGTACCTGGCTTTGTATTTAATCTTTGCAACTTGTCTAGAATCCTCAAAGCAAAAAGCCTGGGTACTTTGGTGATTGGGAGGGGGCCACGTTTATCCTTTCTTAGTTGGATCTAATGTTTTGAGTGGTTATATTGATACCTTTTATCTACCTATTCTAGGGTAATCAAATATGGTTATACTTTTAGAGCTTTTTACAACATGTTTCAAGTTTCATATCGCCACTTTTTTTGTTGCTTTTCAATTGTAAGCAGCTTTGAGGTAGCGTTTGGTGGTTAAAGTGCATGAGATTAGGCTAGAATTGCCAAGCCAAAAACTTGCTAAAATAGTCACCAATCTATTACCGTAAATACTGTAATAGTACCCCACCCCCTCGTACAGTCGCGTAGTCGCAAAAGTTTTTTAGTATTTCATTTTTTTCAAAGCGCCCCTACTTTCAAAAATGCGTCTTTGATATTAAAAAAAATAGCTGAAATTCAGGGCTATTTTTTGATACCTAAGCGCGCATTGCAGCATAAGCCAGTGTCGAGCAAAACTCGTTCAAAACTAGACTCCGCAACACCCCGCACCGTCATTATGGGCGTGGGGTACTATTACAGTATTTACGGTATGCTTTATTCAAGGGGCGAATAGAAGCGAATCAGATAATCATAACCACATATAACAAATTGCTACAATAATTTCACACAAAAAGGAAAGAAAACTAAAAATGGTAAGACTACAGTTAGGAAACACAGGTACAAAAAGATTAAATATACACTTCGTCGACAAGAATGAATAACTTAAAAATACCACATGAGCTAACAGATTTTTGAGCCATTTTCCAATTCTATAGCACTTCATTGAAAGCTTTTATGCAGAAAAGAAATTTTAAAAAGGGCTGCTACGCAGGAGTACGCGATCATACTCTTTACCCGGTCTTCTATTCGAAGAAATACGGTATCTTCTTTACATTCTATTATTCTATTATTCTATCGTACAGTCGCGTAGTCGCAAAAGTTTTTTAGTATTTCATTTTTTTCAAAGCGCCCCTACTTTCAAAAATGCGTCTTTGATATTAAAAAAAATAGCTGAAATTCAGGGCTATTTTTTGATACCTAAGCGCGCATTGTAGCATAAACCAGTGTCGAGAAAAACTAGCTCAAAGCTAGACTACGCAACACTCCGCATCGTCATTATGGGCGTGGGGTGGGTACTATTACAGTATTTACGGTAAGCATATTTGATTACCCTAGAAAAGATAAAAGTTATCAATACAAGCACTCAAAATATTAGATCCAAATAAGCCAGAATAAAAGTGGCCCCTCCCAACCACCAAAGTACCAAAGCCAGTGCCGGAAAGATTTACCGGTGGTTTGGGAGGGGTAACTCAATAAGCCATAAAATATTACCAACCAAATAAATTGTTTTGGCTAAAATAGCGAATATCCTCTGTGCACTTTGCAGTTTTCTCTATTTTTCTCAAGCGGATACATTTTGAAAGGCTACACAACAGCAAAAAGATAACGACAAGACGATAGAAATACATCAAGAGAAATGAATTTTTTGCAAGTGCAAATTTCTCAAAAAAAAATCCCCAAACGCAAATTTGCAAATTAATCGACAATTTATGTAAATTTTATGTAAGTCTGCTAAATAAGTCTTGAAAAAACTATCCATATTTTAACAGAATATAACGGACTATCATATCTACAGGCTGCAAACTCAAGACTCATCTAAATCAAAGTTTCTTTATGATCAGCCCGATTTTGGTATCATTTATGTAACTTTTTCTAAGAGTAATGCATTAATGTCGATTAGATTACAGCATTTTTCTATAATACGCTCCTTTTCGATAACAAATTACCATAAATACTCTAATAGTACCTCACGCCCATAATGACGGTGCGGAGTGTTGTGTAGTCTAGTTTTGAACGAGTTTTTCTCGACACTGGCTTATGCTGCAATGCGCGCTTAGGTATCAAAAAATAGCCCTGAATTTCAGCTATTTTTTGATACCAAAGACGC